GAACAATAATGGAAATGCCCACCGACTGATGATTCTGGCAATTTTGTGACTTATCACATAAAGTGAAATGCTGAACTACATTCCTTTCTCCATGGGGTTCATATTCACACTCTTACCCATGCTCAGCACCCACAATGAGCCCATCATCATTACTGCCATCCCTCTGCTTGGCGTGACCATAGATGCGAAACTATGCTGCTGCCGATTAGACTGTGGCGTGCTAATCATTTTGCATTTTAAAAGACTGAAAGTGGGAATAACCTAGTTAAGAAAATCATTTAGATTTACATAATTCCTTCCTTCTTTCTTTTCTTCTTTTTCATCTTTCCTTTCTTTTCCTTCAAGAAACTCAAGGTGATTAGCTTCCATCAGGACTGCACCATAGCAACGAAAGGACACACTCCAGAGGCCCCCATAGAATTTTTGCCTGCGGCCCTCAGGTTGCAAATTTTACTTACTTTCCAGGAGGAAATGAGCTAGGTGTGATGAGAAGACTAAGACAGTAACTGGCAGACATCTCAGATTCAGTGATCAGAATTATCAGATTGGAAGCGTTTAGGAGGCACGGCATGTCCTGAAAAAATTTCCAAGGTTACTTGCTCAGAAAAAGAGGGGAAAGTGAGGGGAATTTTGGGAGATTTCTTGGTGCAAAATTAAAAGCAGTAAATACTAATTATAGCTCAGTTAAGGAGGAATTGTACATCATTGAAGGAAAAAAAACCAGAGGGGATATGTTAAAAGTATAAGGAACTAGAGAAAGAAATAAGGTCCAAATTGTCAATTTGTTGCATTTCTTGAGCACCTATTACATACCGGTCTCCATGATATATGCTGATCATATAAAGATGAATTTGTCTTTGTCCCTTAGCTTATGGAGCTAACCCTGGTATATTGAAATGTGAAGAGATTAGTTCTCTCAGACACTACTGAAAATGCCTCTAAGGGTAGTCACTTTCTCCATACTCTTGGGCTACTTGTTTTGTATAGTAATTTCCAAAGGTACTAGGGTATTGCTTTTTTGGAGGTGAACAGCAGATAGGCAGCTAGCAATCCAGACAGTAAACCCATGTATTACTTAGGAAAGAATTTGAAAATGTGTGTGATGAAAATAGTGTGATGTTCGATAAAAGAAAAGAAATACATATGTTTTGACTGTTCAATTTAACTCACTGAGAAACTCTAGATTTCTGCATAGCTCTCTTTCAGTAACAGATGGGTTTTTTTATATCAGTATTCATTGGTATTCATATATCAGTATCCATCATTTATGAACCCACTAAATAATTTTACTTTTTAAATACTGTACACAACTCAGAAAGTTCTTTGTGTTGTTACAGATGTTATCAACCTACTTAGCTTCCTTAATCCTCCAAATTTCTTTGAGAAATATAGTTAAACCATAATTAACCAATATTTTCCTCATACTAATCCTTCCAAGAAAGGAGAGCTTGCCAGAAAGAAAGAAAGGCAGACAAGGAAGTGCTATTGCAGTTGAAAACAATGAATGATGACAGGAAAGCAATTAGGAATTCCGAGTAAAGAAACAAGCTTTAAAGGGGAACATAATTATAGTATACTACTTGACTTTGTACTGGGAAAAAAATGTGAGCAGTACAAGAAGATACAGTCATAACAAATATCTACCCTGGGAGATGGAAAAAGAAGCGAGATAGTATAAAAGAATTAAGTTCTCATCGTTATATAACATAGTAAATAGATGATCTCTAGAATTATTAAATTGAGAAATAGAAGAATAGTAAAAGAGACTATTTTAAATTAAAAGAGAATTAAAGACCCAGTGCATGGGATTCAACTAGACAAACCAGCTACAAAGGCCATTTTAAAGATAACTAGGGAAATCTAAATATGTCCTAGGTTTTATATGATATTAAGAAATTGGGATCCCTGGGTGGCGCAGCGGTTTGGCGCCTGCCTTTGGCCCAGGGCACGATCCTGGAGACCCGGGATCGGATCCCACGTCGGGCTCCCGGTGCATGGAGCCTGCTTCTCCCCCTGCCTGTGTCTCTGCCTCTCTCTCTTTCTCTCTCTGTGACTATCATAAATAAATAAAAATTAAAAAAAAAAGAAAGAAATTGTTGCCAGATAAAGAAGTTGTGATACACACACACACACACACACACACACAATGGAATATTATTCAATCATAAGAAACTAGGAAATCTTGCCATTTGCAACAACATGGATGGACCTTGAGAGCATTATACTAAATGACATAAGTCAGAAAGACAAAGAAAAATACTTATGATTGTACTTGCATGTAGAATCTAAAACAAAACAACACAAAAACACAACTCATAGAAAAAAAGATCAAATTTGTGTTTACCTGAGGCAGGGGGTGGGGAGCAGGGAAATCAGAGTAAGTTTGTCAGAAGGTGCAAACTTTCGGTTATAAGATAAATAAGTACTAGAGATGAAATGTACAATATGATGACTATAGCTAACACTATAGTTGTCTGGTATATACGAAGGTTGTTAAGAGAGTAAATCCTAAGAGTTCTCATTACAAGGAAAACATTGTTTTCTTTTTTTACTTTCTCTCTTTATTGTATCTATATGAGATGATGTATGCTAACTAAATTTATTGAGGTAATCATTTTACAACATATATAAATCAAATCATTATGCTGTACGCCTTAAACTTTTAAAGTGTATGTCAATTATACTTCAATAAAACTAGAAAAAATGAAAAATATAAAATAAAATAGATTATTGTCATTTTTGTTAGATGTGATAATATTTTGGTTATGCATAATATAGAATGTCACGATAACTTTAAAGTACATAAGCATGGTCAAATACTTTACAATTGGGTCTACATCAACATTTACAAAATCTTTAGACTTTTCTATTTGACTTTGAATCTGTATATGCATTCCTTAGCTTTAAAATGTGTTTAAGTTATTTTGATAATGTATCTCTCCATTATAATTAGTACACATTCAAGTCCCACTACCCAGCCACCACTGGGTAGCTTTAACTATCTTTTCAAAGATGACTCTTGTTTTGCAAGGTTCTAAGCTTTTAAAAAGCAAATTTAATTATGTTCAGTGTGCTTTATTTAATTAGGCAAGAATGCAGACTAACAAAGTTTTAAAGAGTTTTACATTATAAGATTGAAACAAAAAGAGATTGTGAACCAGGGAATTAAATTAACCAAGTATTCTCCAAGTTTTCAGGTTGGTTACTAGGCATGATTGGTTAAGCCTCAATCAGACTAAAAATTCACATCCTAACTAACTATTGTGGGTTAATGGTTAAGAACACAGCAAATGTGTTGAGAATACCAAGGGGACTCCTCTGTCACTGTGACTCTTAGAGTAGGGGATATTGTGAGCATGACCTACTAAAAATGGACAAGATAACCTTACATTTTAGTGATAAAACTAAGGTTTTTAAACTGTATTTAATACGGGCACCTGGGTGGCTCAGTTGGTTAAGCATCTGCCGTGGCTCAGGTCATAATCCCAGGGTCCTGGGATGGAGCTGCACATCGGGCTCCATGCTCAGTGGGGAGTCTGCTTGTCCCTCTCCTTTCCCTTTTGCCCCTCCCCCCACTCATATATTCTCTCTCTCTCAAATAAATAAAATCTTTAAAAAGAATAGAATGTATTTTATGACTAAATGACTATTTAATGACTATACCCTAGAGAAAAACACTTCCAGAAAGATATTTCCACCTAAGAAGTATTTGACTCATAAAGTAAATATGGTTTTGGTTGGGTAGCTAACACTTTCATTACTTAAATTTCTTTTGCATTAGACATAAGTGAGCTTTCTAAGGTGTAAGGCTTGATAGAATTTTCAAAGTCTTATATGAATCAGAGGGATAATGAAGAGTCATCTAAAGAGAGACATTACATTGAGGGAATAGCCACACCCTTTAGTTCATTGCAATATCATGTTAACAAAGTCATATTTTAATTTGGTGAGACAGTATTGACATGTAACTACTAATCCATTTAATTGGTTGGTTTTAATTCATTAATCAGTGTCATCAGTTATTAGTCCTCCACTCAGTAAATAATTGCTGAGCATCTATATGCAGGTATATATATACTAGAGACTGAGAATACAATAGTAAACAAGACAAACATGATCCCCACCCTCGTGGAGTTTACATTCTAGTAGGAAGACAGATATCAAACAGGAATTGAGGGATGCATGGGTGGCTCAGCAGTTGAGCGTCTGCCTTCGGTTCAGGGCATGATCCCGGAGTCCTGGGATCAAGTCCCACATCGGGCTTCCTGCGTGGAGCCTGCTTCTCCCTCTGCCTCTCTCTCTCTCTCTCTCTCTCTCTCTCTCTCTCTGTGCATCTCATGAATAAATAAATAAAATTTTTAAAATAAATTAAAAAACAGGAATTGATATGAAACATAATCGGTGTTTTTAGGTAGAAAGAGAAGTATGCCTTGTGAGCACATAGCAAGGAATCCAACCATGTTTCTAAAAATATCAACCAGGCACTTCACAGTGCTGTCTCCAGGCCAACCCTTCCTTCCTCAAGGCTGAAAATTGGAGAGTAAATACAGAATCCCTGTGACTGGTGGCTATGCAAGAATATAGGACAGTCACAGTTGAATGTGTGATCCTTCTGCAGAGCACTCTCTCCATTGACAACATAGTTTATATGGTTGTTTTCCTAGTAAACTTTGTATACCAAAGAATGCTGGATAGGGGTGTCTGCCAGAATTAGGGACATGGGATGACCTTGTGAATAGCTCTTCAGAGAGGTATAGGATCTGAGGTAACCCTGCTGCCAACCTGAATATAGACACCAATATTGCAGCACCCAGTAATTGCAGAGAGACTGTTAACATGAATCTGGAATGCCTACATTACTTCCAAGCATTTGAGTTAGATGGATGGGGGAGGACCAGCTAAGCAAATTGTGAAATTTCTAACTGTAAGCAAAAATGTGTGTCTCTCATGAGCCAGATTTGCATCATATTCTAAATAACTGTGTTTTTTTTTAATTTCAGAATGTCCTCATTGTTGAGGTAAGCTGACTTTTCTTTATCCTTATTTGAAAGTTGAAAGAATCCAATGGTGAGTTTTGAAAATAGAACTTACTATCAAAGTAGACAAGGATTTATTGAATTCACACTGTGTGCATGGCTCTCCAGATGTACTAAGAGCTAACTAGAATCAGTGGCTTGAAACAATTTAGAATAAAAGCTTTGTAATAATATTTTCATGGTACTTTATCTACTTTTATGTCTAATTTCACACATGTCTAAATTGGTTCTTACATCTATTTGCGAATCAGGCATTTTTACAGAAGAGGAAACTAGCCCAATAGAACTACATGTATATAATAGTAAAGCCAAGATTTGAACTCTTTTCACCCTTAATTCGATGTTCTTGCTAGCGACCTCTAATGACTTCCAACAATCCTACCTTCAGCAACCAAATCATAAACACAATCCATTTTAAAATGACAATCCAAGAAAAAGCTATAATTTAATTTACATTTTCTGCTAATAAAAAAATGAAAGAGAATGGGCCCTATGGCAGCCGTGGACTTAATACAGCACATGGCCACTTTTCCTTCAAGAGCACGCCTGTCTTATCAGCTGGCAAAAATTCAAGGGAGCTGTTTTCAAGCTTTTGTTACACAATTGCCTGTGTGTGCCATATGTATCTGCAGTCCTCCTGGCTCAGACATAGCCCATGAAGTAGGCCCTCTAGCCAAACGAATTGCCCAACCCTGGCTAAATTCAGACCTGTTGTTTTGATAATCAGCTCCTGACAGCTGATTTCTGTCCCAAGGACAATACACTTCTGCGGCCCATTCTCCTCTAATTGTGCAGCAGCTCATCAGCAGAGATGAGCCGAGGCTCGCCGCAGCCTCGCACCCTCAGAATTCACAGGCTGTCACCAGCTGCCGTCCAGACACATCTCACTTCCCAGCCGTAGAATCCCCTATTGAGTGGGGAGGGCAAGGGGGAGGTGTTTATCCATTCAGGGTATTCAGCTGTACATCCCATGTCCATGAAAATTCATGTGTTCCGTATTGTGTTGCATAACCTCAAGGCCAAATTTAGTCCTTGAATGTGCATGCACAAGTCCAAATGTACTCAGTGAGCAGCCCCATACGCTCTCCAAAGGCCGAACGTAGCTTTCAACACAGTTCAAGGATTCCAAGAGGAAATATTCATCACTAAACCCGGCTTCAGAGAGAAGCACCTGTCTAAAAAATGTAACCAACTCTGCTTCCTACTTTGACTCCATCTGATGGCAATTCTAATTATGATGCATTATTAACAAGGAGTACAATCATCTGTCTGGATGAAAAATCTATTATGCTGCCCAAATGCGCTCAACTGAATCTGTCTGTCCTCTTTGCAAAGGATGTTGTTGGAACTGGGAAAACCATGAAAGTGCTACTCAGTAGCATAAAGAAATACAAGCCCAACATGATTAAGGTAGCCAGGTGAGTAGGACATTCACATCATTGTTGCTTCTGCATCTCCCCATAAGCCCGAGAAGGATGCTAACACAGGATGTTGTCTCCAAAGAGAGCAGTCTATTCCAAACCAGTGACCCCTTTGCCCTGGGGTATTATGGCTTGACCACACTGAACAAATAGCCCATTTGACTGCTGGCCTGAGAGAGAGGAAGGGGAAGAGGACATGCTTTGCTAGGTGTCTGAGTCTCTTGCTACTGTGCCTCCATTAGCGGCTTCCAGGAGCAGCTGGCTGAGCCTGGTGCCAGAGTCTCTCTCCCTTCCTTTTATCTAGAATCACTGATGTGGTGCCACAGTAGCAGGAGGGTGAATTAGGGGACCGTGATGGTGCCCCACATGCTCCAGGGGGAAAATACATATCTTAATGATGTTTAGTTCTATTTGCAATGCACAGAAGTTTTATCTGGATCACTAAGTGCTTTTTTCTTTGTTCTTTCTTTTTTTTTCTTAATGGTAGTTTGTTAGTGAAGAGAACACCTAGAAGTGATGGCTTTAGACCCGACTGTAAGTGGTTTTGGCTTTTGTTGGTTGGTTGGCTGGTTGGTTGGTTGGTTGGTTGGTTGGCTGGTGGTGTTGATTCCTGTTGAAGACTCTGATTTCCTATTTGCCAGTATTCCATATGAAGCACAAGCTGTTAAGGTTTGGTAGTCCCACAAATCTCTCGAGGTCTCCCCAGCCTTGCTGGGAGGATAGAGTCCTCTACAATAAGGGTTTTTAAATTTCCAGTTTGCGTTTTTCCCAGAAACTCTGTCGTGTGCATTGGATATTTTCATTTTTGGGTTTTCCATAGTACCGTAAAGCTAAAAAACTGAGCTAATGGGTATCAGGGAGGTAGAGGGAGACTTGACCCCGCCAGACTGGCTGACATACAGGATCCCTGCCTTGTCCACTGTCCGTGTCAGACGGGCATGGGAGGGCAGCATAAAGGGTTAGAAGGATTCACATACTGCCTCCAGAAACTGTCACCAGACAATGCATAATGCTGACCTTCAGTAAGCCTGAATTTTAGCACACAGAAGGGGAAATCCGAGACACCTCTCCCATCACCTTCAAAGAAAAGTTCAGTAACACAGAGAATTGGCAGAACAAATATCTCCAGATACCATCTTCACAGTTGACTTCGGACATATGTTCTGGAGGACTTTGCTCATCCAGGGCACTTTACTGATAATACAAATAGTTCCAAAGCCAGGAAGAATAAACAAGCAGCTTGATAATTTATTATTCTAACAGTAGAGGCAACTTTTTTTCACTCATATAGCAGACTTCAGCTTGATATTTTATAACTTACATTTGCTCTAAATCCTCTGGGATAATTTGGCTACAGTTCCCATCAGCAAGCTGAAAAAAACATCAGAGCAAGAGTAGTACACTATGGCCGAGTAATGTGCCAATGACATTTCGCCAGTGACTCTTTATTCTAAAAACAAGTTTCATCTATGCTGGGTGTATTAAATCTAGACAACATCATTTCTGGGCACAGAGACCCAACAGCACGTTTCTGTCCAGTTACTGGTGTGGGGAATATAATCTGGGTGCAGTAAACTCAGGCAAAGTGAGGAAATAGAAATCTTCTAAGGAAATCACATAAGATCCCATATAGATAAGATTTTAACTGAAGTTGAGTCACTTCAGACATAGCCAACTACTTACAGATTATTTGCGTCACTTACAGCAACGACATGAATAAATAGGTAATAATAATAATAATAGGTAACACTGGTAAGAGGTTATGATGGGCCCTACACTCTTTAAAGAGCTACACAGAGATTAACACATTTACTCTTCACCACATTCATCCAAGGTAGATGCTACTGATGTACCCATTTTGCAGGTGAGGAAATTGAACACAGCAAGGTTCAATGGCTTTTGAAGGTCACATTGCTGTAAGCGCAGCATCAGTACCGCACCCAGGCAGTCTGGTTCTGATCACTGCCCTTGCTCTTGCATGACATCTATAAGTAACACCGCAGTTGCAAATAGAAGTGTAGGAACTGCATCCATTTACCAACTATACGTAGGTCACTCTGATTCTTAACCATTCCCCTGTCCAGCGTCCTTCTTCTACTCCATGACAGCTCTGAAGGTTTGGCCTTCTGAATTGGCTTTTCTCAGTCTGAGGTGCCATGCCTACTGTAGGGATTGCTCCATTTACCGTAGAGTCATTATTGTGGTAACAGCCTGGGTTCTCTGGGATTTACTGATATCCTTTTAGCTGGGTCAGAATCTCTGTTTCGTTTCCATGGATTTCTGAGGCTTGATACTTTTGATTCCTTTCTCATAATTGACTCTTTCCCATATGTTCAATGGCATCTTTTATATGCTCTGACATCTTTTCTTCTGCTCTTTGTTCTCTTCTTTGATTATATTTCTCAAAGCAACTTACAGTTTGGAGGGACAAAGGAGGGTCTTTATCAGTGATATGTAATGCAACCCTCTAGAAAGTAAGTGTCTCACCTCCAGCACTTTCTGCAAGCAGGAATCAGTTGCCTTCTCCATGTGGAAGCATCTTTGGTCATAGGGATCAAAATGGTGGTGAGTAGTTCACCAGAGGGATAGCTTTCTCCATGCTCTAAGTCCACTAGCTATACCAAAGTACAGTTTCATGAAAGAAAGCAAGAATATTTCTCATCTGCAATGTTGTAATAAACAGATTTAAAATAACTAGAGTTTGAAAAACCATTGGACCATAGGCACATTTATTCTGTTTCAAGACCTCTGAAGGAGAGCTATTCTCTGTTCCTATTATCTTTTCCATAAAAATTATCTTCCTTACAATAAATTTTCCTTTATTTAACCTAAGTACCTCATACTGCATTTAAATCCATTTATTTCCATTCTTCCCTGAATAGAGATAGAGAGCTAATTAATATCATCTGCCTCCTTGATTCAAAGACTAGTGTTGGAATAACCCTTAGTGTTCTTTTCCTCACACTAAACAATCCCCCTTCCTTTCATCTTGTCTCCCAGGTTTTGCTTCTCTGCCCTTTATCCAGCTGAGAACTCTGAGCACAGTGGGAGAACCACTTCCTGGCGGCAAAAGCCTGTGCACCTAGTCACCTACCAGAGGACTGGAATACCTTCTGTCTGAACTGAACTTTATGCTCCATAGTGTTTCCTTTGGCATTATATCATTGGATACTGCTTGCTTTGGAACAGCGGGACTATATGACTAACTCATAGATACTTCTTGTTATCCCCTGGGCTATCTGAGCCCTCTCTTAGCTCCGTGTGGTAGGAGTACAGCCATTCTTCCTTGTATGTTTGCTTGTCTATCTTGTCTTCCTGCCTCGTCACTCTGGTCCAGGTCCTATTGGGCTCATCCTATGCATTACTTATCATTTTTCTCACTTCTGCCTAAAAGGTCCTCACAGTGTAAGTGCCAACTATAACATATGATGGCTTTCTCCTTATGTTATCTATATGTTATTCCTTTTTTTCTCTCTCTCTCTCCCTACTCAGATGTTGGATTTGAGATTCCGAACTTATTTGTCGTGGGTTATGCCTTAGATTACAATGAATACTTCAGAGATCTGAATGTAAGTCATGCATGCAAATCCCTAGCCTTCTTTTCACAAATAACAGTTATATGAATTTAACAAATTATTGAAATAGTAGTAATGATGGCTGCCACTGATTAGGTATCTTCTACATCAGAAATCCCAATTACAGTTGTATACAATTCTAACTATTCCCCCTTATGAATAAGAAATGGTTTCTTTAAAAAAAATAAAAGAAAAGGATTTTATTTTATTTATTCATGAGTGACACACACAGAGAGAGAGGCAGAGACAAAGGCAGAGGGAGAAGCAGGCTCCCTACAAGGAGCCTGATGCGGGACTCGATCCCAAGACCCAGGGATCATGCCCTGAGCCGAAGGCAGACGTTCAGCTGCTGAGCCACCTAGGCATTCCAAAATGGTTTCAACATATATAGATGGACCCCCAGTTTATACCCCCAGCTGTGTGACTTCAAACAATGTTGAATGATCTAGAGATAGATATACTACCCAAAATAGACCAATCATGCATGTGAGTGTCTCTCTCCTAAGAATTAGAAACTTAAACCCAAAGTCACAGAAATCAAAGGATTTTGGTCTTTAACCACTGAATGGCAGGACCCCAGAGAGCGTATCCACAAGCACCATGGACTACCCCATTCTGGCCTTCCAGTTGCTTCACTGGTGCTCTTCCTTGGATTCTATGAGCTACCTCATTATCCTGTCAATAACCCTCCCTTTTTGCCTACGTTAGCCTGACTCCACTTCTGTGCCTTGCAATCAAAATATTCCCAACATGTTTCTTGCTACCCAAAAAGGATCAGATAAGAGTCAATGTTGTGTTTACCATGGCTATTTCTCCATTCTCCCTAGAGGTTGTAATTTTACCAGGTGGAAACTTCTATCTCTACCATGGCTAACCATGCCCTCCTTCAGCATTTCTGATCTACAGAGCCAGATTTGGAATAGGGCTCAAAACTAAAACAATGAAGCTTTGAATGGGTCTCTTTAGATTTTATGTATGAGTACACACATAAATGCACACGTGTATATTTGAATGAACTCTAACCAATTACAAGATGACATTCTGTTATTACTGCATTACATTTTCTGCACCTTATATTTTGTTAAAGAAATAAATTCATTTAAATCCTTTATTGTTTCAGCACATATGTGTGATCAATGAACACGGCAAAGAAAAGTATCGAGTCTAAAGAAGCAAATTCTCACCATCGAATCTCCAGATAACATCATACTTACGACTACAGTCAGAAAGCCAGCATGTAAAGTTTGTTTCCCCAGGCATCTTCACTCAGCAGGGTATAAAAGAAAAAAATGTTTTAATGAGAGAGCTTTCTTTTCTAAGGTTATAACATAAAAAGTAACAAATGCTTTTATTTGACTTGTTCCAAATTAAATACTCTGCCTCGTGACTCATGCTTTCTATCTACCTTCCCACTCTGGAACTTTACCTTCTTTTATTCTGATACAGTCATTATACTTGATTACTATTCTCCCACCTAGTTACTCAAATATTTTTCACTTAACTTCTTTTTTTAATATTCTATTTTGGTAATATTTTGCAATCTGAAGAAACTGGAAGCCTTTTAAGTTAAACTCTGAACCCAAATACTAGGAATGCAACTAGATTCCCATAGGAAAAAAGGAGGGAAAGGACAATTTAATATAAATTTCTGTTTGGGCATTGCTGGCAGGCCATTACTATTTGCTTTGACAAAACCTTTTTGAACTGCAGTGTATAATGAATCTTAATGATGTTATGAAATGAGCCTTTGCTCAGTCCTGTTGATCGGAGCTTCCGGTATGTGATAACAGCATGTCATGTATGCATGGATGTACTCAACTGTGTTTAATACTCTGCATTTTAATTAGAAAAAATACAATGGCAGCAAGGCCCTCATTTCTAAGCTGCATCTTTTTATTCGTGTGGGACATTTGCAAATGGCAGATTCAGGGCGGTGTGGGGTGGGGGTGGGGTGTCAATTCAAAACTTGGTGAGTATCAGGTTTTCCTCTTATTTACATCAAAGGACAAGACACTATTATATATTATCATCAACATGAACACAGAGATTGAATTATTTTTTGAGTAGTTTTATAAGACTTATCCTACAGCCCAAGGCACTATAGAAAACTAGCACACTTAAGAAAGTTTCTTTTTTTTTTCTGAATAACATTTTTTCTATTTCCACTGTTTTTATGAGATGTTTTCCAGTTTATGGGGATTTTAATTGAAAATAAACCTGAGTGTCAATAGAACTGTTTTTTCTCACTTCCTAACAGGAGAAAATGCAAAATAAATAACTAGGCAGCCTTTGTTTGGTTCTGAACCATATGCAGCATATTGTTATCAGGTCCTAGCTTCCTTTAAATTAATAAAGAATAAAAAACTTTGTTATGTTAATGTCTCATAACTGCTTACTGTTTTTCTTCCGCCTTCAACTTTTTTTATATACTTTCAGCCATTAAAATGTGTGTGAGCCAGTAGCTTAAACATACTACTGCATATATCTTTCCTGGGGCTTTATTTTTGTTAACCTGGAAAAAATCCAGATTATATATGCACTAGTATAAGCAAACGATTAAGCCAGACTTGATCTACTGCTTTTTTTTCCTTCTCAAGCTTGTTTGTAAGACAAAGAATTTTAGTTGTAAAAGATTTTCCTGAATATCTTTGTTCCAGTCAGAGAAGAAAATAAACCACACCCAGATATCCCAAGTGAGAAACCAGCAAAGGGAATTCCTTTTAGCGTTGTTCCACAGAAGAATCAGTATCCAAGTTAGAGACTGATAATTCAATTTGGCCAGTTTCTTGAATGATCAAATTCATGTTCTAAATATAATTTCCACTATGCCGCATTTATATCAGAAGATCTAGAGAAACCCAGATACATTTGATTATAAATATAAAATTATCCATAATTTGTATTAAAATATTTTTTTAGAATATTGAATTTTAATAAACATCGGTATAACTTTTTGAGGACTGTACGGTTATTCGAATTAGGAAGGAAATTGATCTACCTCACAGGATTTTGAGAATGACCTGTGCTAGTTAATGCTGAAAATGAAAAATCATTAAATACACAAGAAGTTTAATCATTCGTGCAATTTTTTTCGTATCAAACAATATTTTGACAGTGATATCCAAGAATGTCATCTTGGGAAAAACAGTATTTCCTTTTCTCTTGCAAAATTCAAATCTATTTAATAGCACTGGGTTTTTTCAACCCAGACCAAAAATGTGAAAACTCATAGCCTGATTAGCAACCAATGCATTTATTAATTTAGTGTTCCAAAGCTGGTTGGTAGTGGGGGACAAGTGTGTGAAATGCATTATTGGATTCAGTTACAATAATTAGGAATACTTTTACTACAGTAATACAGTAACATAATCAGTAATACTTTGGGATATTCCAAACAAATTAGAACGCTTCATTATAAATTGGTTCTTTCTTATTAAATTGGAATGTAATCCAATATTGAACCAGGCACTCTCAGTGTGAATTGCAAATAGTCAAATCTTCATATATCTCATTTAACCTTTGAATATCTTTGGATATAACATGGTTTACCATGTTTTAGGACTTCTGAAACTATTAAAAACAACAGCAACAGCAACAACAACATTTTAGAGCATAAGGAGGCATTTTTTTCAGCCTCTCATGGCATGAACTTGTGTTTTCCCAATGGAGAGAGAAAGTGACCTATCCCACTTCTAGAGAACTGGTGTCATAGAAATATTTCCTCACTTTTGTAATAGAGGTAGTATGTTCTAGGAAATTGAAATCCTAAATCACACTCCCCACCCAGATGTCTGGCTGATTGGGGCCAAAAATAGCATTTGGGAGTTGTAGTTACTTTGCTATCATAGAGTTCCTTTAGGATCTCCAGATAACATGTGAGGGCTGGTGGGCAGGTTAATTTCAGGAGGAGAACAAGGGGATATATGGAAGGGAGGTTTGTGCATTGATGTTGGGATGTACATAGATAGATGAAGGACAGAAGGTGTACATGGAGAGAACTGCTTTGTTTCTTGGCCCAGCCATATCCCATGATTGGTTCTGAACCCCATGGAGAAAAGGAGACAAAGACTCCGGCTGAAAGAGCTGTGTTCACAGTAGCTTCTGGGCCACACATTGGGACAGACAGGTCATTCACATTTCACTGTGGGTCATGCACCATCCGTTTAAAAAAAATGTTTTGTTTTGTTTTATTTTTAAAGATTTTGTTTATTTATTCATGAGACACACAGAGAAAGAAGCAGAGACACAGGCAGAGGGAGAAGCAGACTCCCTGTGGGGAGCCTGGTGCGAGACCATCCCAGGACCCCGGGATCACGCCCTGAGCCAAAGACAGATACTCAACCACTGAGCCACCCAGGCGTCCCCCCTAAATTTTTTTTGCAATTTCTTGGCCAAGAGGGCCCCCTTTTCTGACTTTTTCTGCCAGAGTTGGCTTTGCTCAGAGAGAAGTAGGAGAGACTATGAAGACAAAGTGGGATACTGAAGTCCTGCCTGAACAGTAATGTTACTGTGACTTCTTTTGTATCCAGAGCCTAATGGGTGTTGATAAGCTGTGAACGAGGATGGTAAGTTCAGATGACTTTTAAAAGATGAGAAAGACTTGCACATTTTTATTTACTGTGGAAAACAAAAAACAAGTGAACAAAACAGTAGAAACAGTGTATTCATTACTGATTGCTCTATAATAAACCACCCCAAACTGAGTAGCTTAAATGAACGATAATTATTATTTCTTGGGGCTTATCAGAAGTAGGAATATGGAGGAGACACTATGGGGACAGTTTATTTCTGCTTCATGATATATTTTGCTTCAGCTGGAAGATTCAAAGGCTGAAGGCTATAACCAAGTAAAGATAAGCGGTCCAATGCAACCATGAGCCACATGTACTTGTTTAAATTAAAATTAAATAAAATTTAAAGTCCACTTCCTCATTCCCATTAGCTACATTACAACTGTTCAGTTGCCTGCTTCATAAGGTAGTAAGTTACTATATCAGCACAAACAGAAAATTTCTGCAATCACAGAAAGTTCTATAGGTAGCTCTGATCTGAAGGTTTGCCTGGTGGTTGATAATGGCTGCTAGTTGGAACCTTAGCTGAGGCTGTCAGTTGGAATTCTTCTATGCAGATCGAACTTCCTCACAACATGGTAGCTGGGTTCCAAAGGCAAGTGGAGACAGAGACTGAAGCAGGTAGAAGCTATACTGCTTCTGACAGGTTCACTGCCACTACCACATTCTGTTATCAAAACAGTTACAAAGACTCGTCTGAGTTTAAGGGGAAGGAACATAGACTGCCACCACTTGATAGAAGAACATTATAAGTAGAGCAAGTAGGGTAGGATGTGTATGGCTCTGGCCATTGTCAGAAAGCTGGGGATGATATCTGCCACATACAGGTTATTCCCCTGCACATTTTTCACTAATGAGACTAGTGGAGAAGCTGATTATTCAATGGTCATAATGCATAATTGAAAACATGCCTGCTTGCCTGGATTTTTAAGGATGACAGATACTGGGGGTCCTGGATGGTTCAGTCAGTTGAGCAACCGACTCTTGATTTCAGCTCAGGTCATGATCTCAGAATCGTGGGATTGAGCCCCACATCAAGCTCTGCACTGGGCATGGAGCCTGCTTAAGATTCTCTCTCTCACCCTCTGCCCCTCCCCCATCTCAAAAAAAGAAAAAGAAAGAAAATTACTACCTGGCCACATGGGGAAGTATGAAATGATAAAAGAACACCAGAGTAGCCCACCTTGATTATAAAGGTAGAAATACATGTTTTCCCACTAATAGTGTTTGGACTAGACTAAGAAGACTTTGAAAGAGCAATTTTATTTCTATTAAGATGCTTAAATTTGAAATATAAAGACCATAGTAAAATAGTTTTTGCTTGCCAAGTATTCTCTAAGTGTAAATTCAAGCTGAAACCTTAGAAGTAGTTCCATTTTTATGTGAAGAAATTGCTATATAGTTTGGCCAAGAAACTAATCTAGAATAGGGAGATTATATATATATATATATATATATATATATATATATATATATATATATAACATTATGCTAGAAATAGTACTCACCAAATCAATTCAAAAACATTTTTTTTTAAGATTTTATTTATTTATTCATGAGAGACAGAGAGAGAGGCAGAGACATAGGGAGAGGAAGAAGCAAGCTCCCTGCAGGGAGCCCGACATGGGACTCGATCCAGAGACTCCAGGATCACACCCTAGGCGGAAGGCAGGCGCTTAACTGCTGAGCCACCCAGGGATCCCAAAAAAACATTTTTAAAATAACAAATCACTGAGTACTAACCAACCGGACTTTACAATGAAAACTGCTGTCCCATTTATCTAATCTCCCAATATTGAATGACAGAGCTGGTTGACTGGAAAACGGAAGTGCTGTAATTTGTCTTATCTTTATTTGAGCAATGCTTTTGGTTGTGCTGTGTGAAGAATATTCATCAATAGCCTGGGGAAATGACTTAACACTACATAGCTACTGGGTGACTGCAGGAATCTTTATAGTTGTATTTAAAAGAGATCTAGTATGAGCATAACAAAACACAGTGTGTGAAAGACTCAAGCCCAGGCAGTGAGTGTGTTGACATTTCACGAAAGATCTGGCTGCAACTGCTGTGGATCATGGGCTACACAAAAACTTGACGATAAGTCTATTTAGTGTTTAGCGTAAAACCCAGAGGTAGGAATTGGCATCTCCATTTTAGAGATAAGGAAAAGTACTCTTTAGAGTATCAAAGAGATTAAATCACTTGCCCAGGGTCACATAGCTTTGTTCAAAACAAGAATTTGAACCAGCATTATTAGACTGCTGAGTCAGTACTCAGTACACAGCGCTGAGTTCATGTACTACGTAGAAAGTGTGTCTCAACTCACCGGTGATGATCAGATGAGGATAAGAAAGAATGGTGTGGAATAATAAGAAATATATTCTTTTTCCCTGGTTCCTGGGGCGGAGCTCCTAATACCCTTGGAATTTCCAAAGTGGGGATAGGATATTTTGTTACTCTTAACAAACTCCTTTTATCATACCTAAGTTTATGTAGAGAGGTGACTTATGGTGGAACCCCTCTAGAAAGCCTCAGGATGGGGCTGGTCACCGGAAAGACCAGCGATTGGAGGGTTGGAATTTCCAGCCTTGCACACCAACCTTTGGGTAATTAAGCAACTAGACCTCATTAGCTGCTATTTTTATGTGTCTACTATCAAATATGAAATAGCCCAATAATTTTCTTCTATTTTTTTATGTGGTTTTGGAATCAGGATTATTTTAGCTTCAAAAAGTGACATCAACTTTTACATTTCTTCCATTTTCTCACACAACTTGCATAAGATCAGGGCTCTCTGTGTAT